TTTCTTGAGAATATATGCCTTTGCACCCTTCACGGCTTGAGTGCCCTCAAATGATTCCTCCAACTTCTTCCATGCCTCATGAGCTCTCTCAATGTTCTTGATTTGCACAAATATTCTTTCATCCAAAGCATCATGGATGGCACTAAGAGCAATATCATTATTTTGGAGAAGCATTTCTTCGGCGGCGGTGGGAGCCTCTTCATCATCAATCTCAATCTTGGTCTCCACCACCTTCCAAACCTTCCTATTGATTGACTTGACATAAGTTATCATCTTAGCCTTCCAATAGAGATAGTTTGAGCCATCAAATTGGGGTGGCTTCTTGGTGTTGTTGATTTGAGCTATTTTTACACCGAAGATTGTTAAGCTTTAAATCACGGTGATCATGACTCTGATACCACTTGAAAGGTCCTAATAGCTAGAGTGGGCGTGAATAGCCTATTAAAAATTTCTACAACAACACTTAGCAAACCGGTTAGACAAATATGAAGCTAAGCGAGTGTTGCACTAGCCTACTAAAAATATAAGCCACATACCACAATTCTAGTTTATGTAGTCTCTATCCACACAATAGCTATGTCTCTACACTAAGTTAGTGTGCTCTCAATGGCTAACTAAAAAGCCACACTAACCAAACTACAAGCTCTCATGACTAACTACACTAAAGAGCTTGACAACTAGTTTGCGGTAATGTAAAGAGAAAGTGAGCAAGATGGTTATACCGCCGAGTTGAGGGATGAACCAATCAATCACAAGAATGAATACCAATGAAGACCAATCACCTTAGAACCAAATGATGACACAATGATTTTTACCGAGGTTCACTTGCTTGCCGGCAAGCTAGTCCTCGTTGTGGTGATTCACTCACTTGAAGGTTCATGAGCTGATTGGCATCACCCACCAAACCCTCAATAGGATGCCATAGAACCAACACAAGACGAGGATCACACAAGCCATGAGCAATTTACTAGAGTACCTTTTGAATCTCCGTCGGGAAAAGGTCAAGAACCCCTCACAATCACCACGATCAGAGCCAGAGACAATCATCAACCTTCACTCGACAATCCTCACTGCTCTAAGCCGTCTAGGTGGCGGCAACCACCAAGAGTAATAGGCGAATCCCGCAGCGAAACACGAACACCAAGTGCCTCTAGATGCAAACACTCACCAAATTCACTTGGATTCACTCCTAATCTCACAAAGATGATGAATCAATGATGGAGATGAGTGGAAGGGCTTTAGCTAAGCTTATAAGGTTGCTATGTCAATACAAATGGCCAAGAGAGTGAGTTAGAACCGACCATGGGGCTTAAATAAGATTGCCCCCACGAATAGAGCCGTTGGCTCAATTATTGGGCAGACTACGGGATGACCGTATGCACCGGTCGTGTGCATCGGACGCGTCTAGCCGCCTGCGTCCGGTCATTGCCAGTTCGCCATGTGTCCCATTCAAACGAAGTAGCCGTTGCTGCCACGAGTACCACACTCAACTGTGACCGGATGCGTCTGGTGTGGACCACCGGATGCAGGAGACGCAGCGTCCGGTCGAGTCCAGAGAGCTCCCAGAGCCGCTCTGGGCCGACCGGACCGGACGTAGGAGACACAGCGCCCGGTCGAGTCCAGAGAGCTCCCACAGCCGCTCTGGGCCGACCGGACGCGTCCGGTCATTTCGGACCGGACGCTCCCAGAGTTTGATCAATTTTAACACTGAAAACCAGAGGCTCACTGATTCACACCGGACGGCGACCGGACGTGTCTGGTCGCTCTCTGCAATTCAGTACCGAGCCACATCACTTTGACCGAACGCTGAACAGTAACTCCTCAACGTCCGGTCGCTCCACTGAGCTAGAGTCCGGTCGTTAATACTGGACGCGTCCGGTCTCCATATCGGACGCGTTCGGTCACTCTGTGGCCAGCGCGACTAACTCCTTTTCAATTCTATCTTCTTTATCCTTGCTCAAATGTGTCAACCACCAAGTGTATCAACTTGTGCACATGTGTTAGCATATTTTTACAAATATTTTCAAGGGTGTTAGCACTCCACTAGATCCTAAATGCATATGCAATGAGTTAGAGCATCTAGTGGCACTTTGATAACCGTATTTCGATACGAGTTTCACCCCTCTTAATAGTACGGCTATCGAACCTAAATATGATCACACTCGCTAAGTGTCTTGATCACCGAAACAAAATGGCTCCTACCACTTATACCTTAACCCTGAGCCTTTTGTTTTTCTTTATTCCTTTTCAAGTCCAAGCAATTGATCATCACCATGACATCACCATCATCATATCATGATCTTTATTTGCTTCATTACTTAGAATAGTGCTACCTATCTCATAATCACTTTGATAAAATTAGGTTAGCACTTAGGGTTTCACTAATTTACTAAAACTAAACTAGAGCTTTAAGTCTACCACCGCCGCAAGCCAAGAGGCACGAACACGCCAAGGGAAGCCAGCAAATACGAACAAGCATTGCTCTGATCATGGCCGTCATGGGTTTCCCGGTGGACTACTTGGAGCTGGTGCTCCTGAAGCAGCAGCTCCACCTCCTGCTGCTGCTAGGGTACATTCGCCGCTACCTCATCTGGGCATTCAACCACCAGGCCTAGTAGCAAGATAAATACGAGAACCAACAAAATATATATATAAAAATAAAAATATTCATATAACCATAATTTTTGCTGTGGCAACACATAGAAGTGACTTTTTTAGAAAAGAGGACAAAAGAAACTTACCTTTTTTTATTTAAGCACTTTGTGCATCTTCGTAACGTAGAAATCATTTATAATGGCTCACGTCCATTGCCATCTCTATCTACCTTCTTAAAAAAGAATCAATTGTCCTTTTAGTAGCAATCATTATTTCCAAACTGAATTAGCGTAAGCATACAATGATACAAACTGAACTAAAGATTTGCACGGATGATCATTGCAAATTAGCAATTAAAAAATTACTTTGCCTGTGCTTGTGCGTATAGCGTGCGGCTCTCTTGCTTCTTGCACCTGTAGGCTGCAGACTTGATCGCTCGGCTGCTGGCTGCTCGGCGCTCACCTGCTCCAGCCTCCAGCGATGCCGCGACGCAGCGACGGCCAACGGGATGGAGATTGGCAGCCGGATGCGGCGACGCCTCGACGCCTCTGCGGACTGCAGCTCTGCTCTCCGCCTGTCTGCTGATCGTGCGGGGAACTGAAGCTACGGGGGCACGGCCCCTGGTGACCACCCCAATTCCGCCACTGCCACCATGCACTGCTGCAGGACGGCGTGGCGTGCGGCTGCCCTCTCCCACTCGTGCGGACGTTGCCTCCCCGCCGCGTCGTGGAGCCGCCGGGCCGCTACCTCCGGTACGCCAACGAGCCTTTATTCTCTCGAGTAGGATACTGTACTGAAAACACAGATACATGTGTATGTTTCAAATGTTTCAGATGTTTATACGGAAGTTGTAAAAGTAGATGTATATTATAATGGTTGTACACGTATATTACAAACGTCTGTCCCCAATGTTTATGTGTGTTTTTCAGATATACGTTGAAAGTATGTTTATTTGGATGTTGTAATTGCAAGTGTTTTATCTGAATATTACGTATTGTTATAATAATTTTAAGTGTTTTTCAGGTGTTTTTTTTTGCAAGTGTCTCAGAAACATGTTTAAAGTGTTTTATCTATTTTTAGACGTATGTTGTAAGTGTTACATCTGTATCTTTCAAAAGTAAATTAGGTGTTGCACATGTTGTAACGTCACCCTCCCACGGAGATGAGGCGTAGACGCCGCGTTAGCTGACGCGGGGGCGGAGCCTAGGTGCGGGAACAGGGTACAGGCGTGGGCGTCTGCTAGCACCAGCACTACCAATGGTTTTATGGTTGCGCGAGTAAAATTGAAATACGACAATACTGTACAAAGACTACTCAGGTAGTCAGGTAATTTTTTTCCGCGCGACCATACAGATCTATCCATCCTGAGATTGGACGGGCCGGCAAGATTGGCGAAGCGGGCTGGCCGGGCTGTGCTCTGCGATGCGACGCCTACGGCCTGCAGGAGACTTCATCAGAACCTCAGGATCACCGTGAGATCAGTACGTTTGCCAGCAAGATGCATGGCCGTGACGAACCCGAGCGCGAGGCTTTAGCATGAGCGCCTCCCACTGAGACCGGTCCTTTGGAGTTGGGGACTTGGGGGGCACACACACTGACACGACACCGGGTCAATGCGTTAGGTGAAACAACCCAAGGGCTCCGACTCCGATCTTCCTGCTTCGTCGGCTCTCCCGTCCCGTGCGGCCGTGCAGGGCTGCCGCTTCGCCTGCCTGTGTGAAACTAGTAAAGAAACGCGAAGTTAACCGACGCCTTAGCTGCTCTACAGCACTTTGGCATCAGTTCCCTCGCCGGCCATCATTCGACCCTCGTTTTTCAGAGCACCTTTTCTGCTTCACTTGTTGAAATCACAAGCTGGTTGGAGGCATGTCATGAACATACCCTTTTCTGTTTTCAATGCCCTCGAGGCCATGGTCCACGAATTTTTCTGTTCCAAAGTAGTACTAGTAGAAAACATGCATGTTCTGATCATACAAAAGGAAGCGATCGAGATCGCCAGAAACTGCACAGATAGAGAGAACTTGTCAAAGATGCCCCCACCAGCTGGCCTAAGCACAACTTTCGCGTCCCCTCTGAGAAGCTTTGAGTCGCACCGAAGGCATTCCAATTCCATTCTCTTCACACACTGCACCATTTCATTTCATTTTCTTTTCTTTTTATAAAATCGGTTAAAGGTGAAAAAAAAGGTCGAGAGAGTAGGAATGTACACCGAAGAAATAATGCTCGATTGACGTATTTTCAATCTTCAGAAAGCATTTTAGCTAGCAACCCTGTGGTCGATAAATAGACCCTCCAACCTCCAGTCTAGTGTCCTACATAGCAACATAGTGCATATCTCCCTTGCTCTCGTCCCTTCCATTGTACATCCAGCCCATCATACTAGATAAGCTAAGACTAAGATCACCATGGCCAACTCCTTGCTCCTCCTCGTGGCGCTGGTCATCGCCGGTTCCACGGCTCTGGCTTCGGCCACGACGTACACCGTCGGCGACTCGCAGGGCTGGACGACCAACGGCGACTACAGCACCTGGGCCAGCGGCAAGAGCTTCGCCGTCGGAGACAAACTAGGTGAGCTAGCTCTCTGCTCCGATCCTTCACGTACGTCTCGTTCCATCAAGCGTGAGACTGCAACTGGGCACGCATTATTGGCGACGCCGCGATTATTGCGCAGTGTTCAACTACATGAGCAAGGCGCACTCGGTGACGGAGGTGAGCAAGAGCGGCTACGACACCTGCTCCGGCACCAACCCGCTGAGCGACGACGAGAGAGGCTCCACCGTCATCATGCTCCAGACCCCGGGCACGCACTACTTCATCTGCAACGTCCCCGGCCACTGCGCGGAAGGCATGAAGCTAGCCGTCGCCGTCTCCTCCACGCCATCTGGCACGACGCCTTCCGCGGGCGCCCTGCAGGTCCCGGCGATGGCCTCCGTCGTCGCCGCCGCGGCCGCAGGCGCTGCGATCAAGCTCGCGCTCTTCTGACGGAGCACGGCTGTCGATCGTCAGAGTCGTCCAGGGTAGAGACAGTGCATGCAGGCTATGTTCTTGGCCGTTGATGGTTCGTGTAAACGGAAATTACTGTCCACATTTATTTCTGCTACTTTTTCAGGCGATTGTTCGTCGTGCAACTCATGTATGTATGCATGTTACTCTGCGGTGGCGAGTGCCTTTTCTGATGCCTCTGTCGTTGTGTGTTCATCACCAGGGTGTATATCATCGTGTGTGATTGTTCTTTGGGAGATCTTTGCCTCAATAAAATTGCCTCATTCTCTAGTATTCCATCGATGAGTGCTCTGTAACTCTGTAAAACACATCCTCTCAAGTCACTGTCTTGTCAGGTCAGGTAAGAGCGTGATTCGGCGGAAAAGCGGAGGAAATGATCGAGTCCTCAAAGGGCAGGAACATTGTAAAGCGATCTTGTCGGCTGGGTTTGATGTGTATGCGTCGAATGGTTTACAAATTACAATACATTACCGATAAATAGAGGTGACCAGTAAACGGGAGGAGAGGCCGGTTAGCGAGCTAACACTGATAGTTTAGGTGATATAAACTAATTCTATCAGGTTTTACTGATAAAACAGAAATACCGCATTTATTGAAAATCCATCAGTGACAATCTAAACCTTGCGATACAAGTTTCTAATGGATAACATTTTTTTCGTTTTTCTCAAAGAGATAAGATAAACATGCCCCTTTCCGTATATATGGCTCTTTTCATCTTAATTGAGCTACTTCCATTTACATTAAAAGAAAATTAAACAACATTCAGGTGTTTTTTTTTGCGAGATTCTAGCAAAAACTCTAAATATGTTAAAGCATCTATAGCAGGAGGTCTCAAATCAGGGCCCTCAGATTCAAATAAATAGACACCAGCTCCCTGTCTCCTCGATCGTCTCCTCGAATCGGGGCGGCGATGGATGCCCCCGCGGCGGAGGAAGGGCGGGGGGAGGTGGGGAGGCATCACGGCCAGGAGAAGGAAAAATGGGGTGTCTGCCCACATCGTCTCCTCGAATCCCGTCAATGGGATGCCCCCGTGATGGGTGGAGACGGCGGCGGGGAAAGGGCGTCGTGGCCGGAAGAAGGACGACTGGGACGGCTGTCCATGGCTAGGAGAGGTGTGCCCGGGTCCCGGGGCACACAGCGGGGAGGGGCACCTTGACAGGGAGGGAAGAGAAATGTGGCCAACCACCCGATAGGGGCCATGGTCGATGCTCTTAGACTGTCTCCAACGAAGTACCCAAACCGTGATCCATTCGCATTTTACGTCGTGCACAGTACTTTTACGGGGGAAAATCGCTCTCCAACAGAGTAGCCAAACGCAGCAGGCATTTTGCGTCCGACGATACACGGTACCCAAACTTGCATCCTCTCTCCTTCCCTTTGCGTCTCCTCCACGCAGGCGGGGCCCACCACCACGACCGGAGCCGGGGCCGAGGTCCGCCTGCGCCCGCGCCGGGGCCGAGCGCGCCGGGGCCGAGGTCCGCCCGCGCCCGCGTTGGGGCCGAGCGTGCCGTGGCCGAGCTCGCCGGGGCCGAGGTCCGCCCGCGCTCGCGCAGGGGCCGAGCGCGCCGAGGTCCGCCCGCGCCCGCGCAGGGGCCGAGCGCGCCGTGGCCGAGCTCGCCGGGGCCGAGGTCCGCCCGCGCCCGCGCCGGGGCCGAGCGCGCCGAGGTCCGCCCGCGCCCGCGCTGGGGCCGAGCGCGCCGGGGCCGCCGGGGCGGAGCTCGCCACGCGCCGCCAGGCCCGAGGCCGCCGGCTCCTCCTCCGTTGCCTTTGGGTTGGCTGTTGGAGAACGGAAGTTTTGGGTACGCTACCTTTGTACTGTGCATAACCTAAACCACGGTATGGGTATTCGTTTTGGGGCTGCACCGTTGGAGATAGCCTTAGGAATGAGGGTCGTAGTGTGGGATTTGAGTGCCTCCTAGTTTGAAGGCTTGAATGGAGACACTATTAAACCTATGCTTTTTAGCCTAGCCCTTAGATTTTGGTTTACGAGCTTGTTTGAGGGCCCTGGAGTTGATATTAGAGGCCACAAACCAGGAGGTTTGTGTTTTGAGGGTTGAAGACTCATAGGAGTACGGTGGCTCTAAAGGGAAGACCGAAGGAGATAGCAAACCTGAAGGGGCAGCAAGAATACAGCGCCAGCTAACCATGGGAGGTGGAGGAGGCCGGTTGGGAGTTAGCGACGGGTACAGATGGGGTATCTAGCCTTACAATGGTGTACCCAACTACCCATTACCTCCTTTGAGCAATCTACTAAATAGCAGATAGCAGGTTCGTAGCGGATTAGCGCTAGTATAACCGATTTTGGGTAATGGGTTCTGTAAAGCAGATGCTAAGTTCTAATAGCAGAATAATAAAAAGTCATTTTTTGAAGCATATGTCGATATTAATATCACTACTAGAATCTAGAATTTTCTTGGGGGTCAAAAACCACTGAGGAAAGCACCTAAACCGTTAATCCTTGACAGACAACAGTCAAGTAATGACCGCCAAGTGTACAGTGCAAGGGAAATTCAAATTCCTAGGCGGCTGGCACTCAAGGATCATTTCCTTGCATTGACGGGTTTGCCGCCAAGGAAAACAAGCCACCATCAAAACTACTAGAGTACCACAAGAAAATATATCAACTGCCAAGAGAACAACTTTCCTTGGCGCAAGTAACTGCCAAAATAATTATCAAAGTCTTCAAGGTAAAAGCAATTTATTTGACTGCTTTTAACCCCCAAGGAAATGTGTTTGTTTGGCAGCCTTAACAGCCAATGTTATTGCATTTCCTTGTTGCCAACCGCCAAGGAAACAAAGGTACTAACAAAAACAAATACAGTAATCAGCAAATTCAATTCAGTGTAATCATCCATTCATAACACCAAAAATAGTAGCATGGTTGTAAGAAATATTTATGATACATTCCCAGTAAAAATGTCTAATTTCCTTGATTGTTCTGTTTACCCGCCAAGGAACTTGTATTTCCTTGGAGGTTTACCTAAACCGCCAAGGAAAGTCCTATTTTTTTGGCGGTTCTATTTTAGCCTTCAAGGCCGACAAGAAAATTCAGTTTGATGATAGTTATCATGTTTGCTTAAAATTATTATGAATTTTTAGTTCATTATTAAATTTAATGACACAAAACCAAAAAAACATATAGATGAATAAGATATAAAAAAAATACATGTGGAGACAAATTATATTTAAGTTCTCATACCAATTGAAATGATATCATTAATCATCCATTGTTCTTTATCATGGTCTAAATCATCATTTAATATTTTTATTAACATTGGAACAATCCACATAATAAATAGTGGTCCAACAACAACAATTGCGGCTTGCAATAGTGGATGCTAAGCGTTATAGTGGCCGCTAAATTCCAACACATTATCTTTGGTCGACTACATTATAGTGGCAGAGGCCACTTCCGCTATAGTGACCACCGTTGCGGGTACTACCAATGCTATTTAGCACTATGCCTAAGAGGTAGGAACTCAAATGAATTATATAGTCCTTAATTTCTGAAATAAATGATACAATAATGCAATTAAAATCTCTATATACCTAATATTAAATAGTATAGTTTTTTTTCATCTCTCACTCTCTCCCCCGCTCTCCGTCTCTCACTCATCATCCGTCCCTCACTTTCTTCCTTTCTCACTTTGAGTTCAGAATCTTCTATCCCTCACTCTTATCCTTTTTTTTTCTTTGAGTTTGGAGCTGCGAAACATTCATTAGTGCCGCACGAGAGGGCACATGGCTCGCCTTCCAACTTTTTTAAAAACTCACAGTGGGTGCACAAGATTGTCATCTTTTTAAGTTGAGTTAATTTTTCATATGAGATTAATCCTTTACTGCACTAGCATGTATTGTGAATCTTGGAATTTATTTGATTAAAATTGAGCAAAGCTAATTAAATTCAACAAGATAGGTAGCTTATTATCATTGGCACGAGCATCATGCAACCAATTGTGCACCCCATTGCAATGTACGAGTATATTGATACATGTTTTTTTATTACCAAGCATACAACTAACAAATTAATATGATTTTTCTATTACCTCCTAGCAGATAACATGCTTTAACTCTCATTTAAATTGACGGTTCACATCACTTCAGAGTACCATAGCCTAACCCAACTTCGAAACAGCTGAGAAACACTGGGTGGTAGACTCTAAAAAGCTGCTGCTCTCCCCTCTCTCTCGCTTTGGCCTGCCACAGAAAACTCTTGAGCCCTTGCAATTTGGAAAACACCGGCATAATCAGCAACCTTTGCAAAAGCTAAGGCTGAAAAGAGCTAGTGGACCTCGAGTTACAAAGACGACAGCTCAATCCGAACCACTACACTAACAACGAATCTTCTTCCGTGTGTGATGTGATTCTGGACAGAATAGCTAGCTGCGAGAAGTTGAAATATGATGAATCGGTTTCTGCCTTTCTTGATCCACCAACAAAGTGTCATGCAAATTGGTCGATGCATAAAAATCAATGACTAGTACGAGACGAAGGGTCAGCCGGGGTGGTTATGCCCATCATTTGTTTTAGGACACAAAGCTTCCGAGATATGTCGATGAATAAGTGTATTCTCACAGCATGCCATTAGTTGTGAGCTTGTAAGTATGACGTAGGGCTGTTAGGAATGTGCCCTGAACGGCTGAACCTCTCACTTCCCTGTCCCTGAATAGTTAGGACTTAGGACTTTGCCCAGGTATAAGCTCATTTTTAATATTCCTATCTAGTGTAGACCACTTATTTGGTTCTTATAGCTGAAAATTTTTCTCTTCAAATTTTAGAAATCAAATCTTAGCAGAAGCGGCAGCTATTGCTGAGCTTTGTGGTAGGGTAGAAATGATATTGTGTTCAAAAGGACTACCTACAACTATTTCATTCCTGCAGTTTATTTTTAGGGCACATATTGGATCTGGGATTGATCCATAAGAAATTTAGGCATATTACAGTATATTTTAATTCAAAAATATATACAGATATTTGTG